GGCTTGTCTTACAGGAGGATGGAATGACCCCATTTCCAAAATTGCAGTACAGTACAATTTGAGCTTTTTCACGTGGCTATAAACATGGGAAGCTTTGACAGAGCACAGGGCTCTTCCTACTATATAACACAACAATTCAGGTTGCAGACACTGGTTTCCTTGGGGAGATTTCAATCCCTAATTCCAAAAGTGGTGTAAAATCCCAAAACCAACAAATATATATAGATATAAGTTATGGAGAGAAATTTTAGTTTTCACTGTTTTCTCCACCTTCCTATAAAACTGAGATAATAAGTGTTGGGAACAGTGCTAAAATCATTTTTCAGTATTGGTAGGGGTCATTAGAACTCCAATTATGATTATGCATAGCACTTTCATTTTCAAGCTGAGTCTATTGGGGTCCAGAATGGCCCATTGACCCGTTTGATAAACTTCAAACTTAAAAAAAGAAAGGCGGGGGGGAGGGAAGAGAGGGACTTCAGGGCACTGCAGTTCATTGGGGAGGAAGCGTAACAAGTGTTTGGTGTCCGTAGAAAGCTTTTTCTTTCTTTTTTTAAATGATTTCTGGGGTGTGAAATATCCCCAGTGTCATGGCCTGAGCCCCACATATCTGAGAAATCATCACTTTCCATATGTTCCATATGTTCACTATAGTTGGTGACTTATGGTTCTTCATGGCCTCCTCACTGTGAGATTGGCTCCCTGGAGAGGGGAGGGGAAACCCCTTGGTGGAGAACTTAAGGTGGCACTGCAATGCTTGTTCACTGGGATTTTGCTGGGGTATGAATGGCAGGCATCTTTGGGGGGTTAAAAACATCTCATTTGGTTTTAATTTGTAATGTTTTAAGTATTACTTGTAAGTGACCTTGAGCTAAAAGAAAAGGTAGGGTATAAATGTTTTAAAAAACAATTAATAAGCTGCTATCCTTTAACCACAGACTTTTATAGAGATGTATGAAATGAGGAGAAGTTTGTGCAAGTTTAGGAAGGGGTCAAGTGTATGAGGGGGTGGTTTTACTGTTTCCACTTTCTGGCTACAGCCCCCTGTGCCATTCCTTGCTATCCCACATCATTCCCCAAGGAATGGGGAGAGCATAGGAGGAAGCACTGGAAAAGGGCAGGCAGCAAAATTCCCTTCTGCAAACTCACTTGTTCAGGTTTCTTAGGGCCCAACCACAAGACTTTAAACCACTTCAAGGCATTTGTTGAGGCACTGACAAATCATTTTGAAACGGTTACTTCGAGTTACTGTCTAAACTTTCATTGTAACATTCTTGCAAACCCAGCAGCAGGATGTTAGGTTTTCAATTATGCTGCTGCAAAAGTTGACATGAGTCTTTCTAGAAGCATCCTTACTGCTGCAAGAAGTCCTACATTTTGCCATACCGCCCACCCATGTAAATTGTTACTACATCTGTCCTTAGGAAAGTATTTTCTAACTAAGTAGCTGTAAATTTCTGTGGAAATTGTTTTAGATCATTAAAGCATAGTTCTTTTTTAAAAACTCGACCTGGATGATGATGAAGATGATGATCATGATCTAGCTGAAATGTATACCTGAGAGTGCTCTGGACAACCCACTTGTTGGTCCAAAGACTGCTGTGAGGGAAACTTCTGGCATTTGTGAGCGAGAGTATATAAATCAGGTTTCCTATTCTCATCAAACGTAAATAGTTCTATACACACCTTTCCTAATTTGTGACTTTCCAAACTGTCACTTATCACTTCTGTGTTATGAATACAGTGGTTGAAGTGAGGTAAGGAAACAGCTTTTATTCACGAAGCATAAAACAAAGAACATTTATTTAGGAAATCTGACAGACGACATCTTTCTGTCTTGCATACAAACAGTTAAAAAAATTAACATTGCTATCCGAAAAAGTGCCATCCTAAGAAGACTTCAGTGGACTTAAAAGAGTGTTACCTCTACTTAGGATGGCAGAGTATTTAGGTCAGTGCAGAGTATTTAGGTCAGTGAATCTCAGACTTCAGCAACCTTTGTAAGGACAGAAGATGAGACAAACAAGCTGTAATGATTCCTTGGTTTTTTTGTGTGTGTCTCTTTAAAAGTTTGGTTGCATGGCTGTGATAGATAGAGTGGTTGAGAGAGGCAAGTGTGGTATGATTGGTGGTTGACAGAGAGGGGGAGGGGTTTTGGAAGTGAATCTGGTTGGATGAGTATGTGAGTCAGAAGTTTCAGTTACAAGTTGACAGTTGATGTTCAGTTAGTGAGTTCTGTGTTGAAGCAGTTAGAAGTGGACAGCTGCGGTTGTTCAGTGAGAAAGCTGAATGTATAGGAAAAGGAAAGTAAAGTTTAAGTGAAGTAAAGTTAAAGGAAAATCTGAGTGTCATAACAGACTGGAGAGAAACAGTGAACATATATGGCATTGAGATAAACAAGTGTTACAAAGTTACATGAAAAGATCCCTGTCAGTGAGGGAAAAGATTGAGTGTGATACCAAAGAAATTGTACATCATTTACACATTACTAGTTACATTGTATCACCCTCTTATTTAGTATTTATTTCAATAAATCCTCTTTTATTTAAGTTTATACCAGCTCTGAATGAAATACTTCTCAGGACCACATAGTTCCTCGTAAGCCTTGAACTCGGTCTACCAAACTAAAAAGAGCAACAGTAGAAGCATAAAGGTTTGGAAATCCTTAAAATTTCCTGGTGACAGCAGAATCTACCCAGTTAAACAAAATATGGAGAACTTTTAAAGTGAAACTAGTCCTCCCCAATAAGGAGGACGTCACACAAGCCTTCACAGTTCTCTAGGAATGATGGGAATGACTACCTGCAGTCACCTGGCTTCCAAGGTCACCCCAGAGCACTAGCCAGAACACTCGGTGACTAGTTGCTGGGAACCAATAGCTCAGTTTTGTGAAATCTGATTGATGGAATGGCACCAAGGAGGACAGTCCTAACGAATCATAGCAGGCAATAGTGGTCTTCAGTTCAAGTATTATTTTATTTGTTTATCAAGTTTTTATGCCATCCTTCCAGGGAACCTGCTCAAGGCAACTTATAGAATAAAATGCAATAAAAATTAAACATCGAGAAGTAATATCTGGATTAAAACCCCACATTAAGTACCCAGCCACAGCTAAAAACACAGACCACTAAGAAGCTTAAAATAGCAGTTTTCAGACTAAAAGCTTGCTTGGTGGAGCCAGTTTGGTGTTGTGGTTAAGTGCGCAGACTCTAATCTGGGAGAACCGGGTTTGATTCCCCACTCCTCCACTTGCACTTGACTGGATGACCTTGGGCAAGCCGTAGTTCTGATAAGAGCTGCTCTTGAAAAAGAGCAGTTTCTGTCAAGAGCTCTCTCAGCCCCACCTACCTCACAGGGTGTCTGTTGTGGGGAGGGGAAGGGAAAGGAGTTTGTAAGCCGCTCTGAGACACCTTTGGGTAGTGAAGGGTGGGGTATAAATCCAATCTCTTCTCTTCTTCTTCTAATTAAAAACCTGGGTGAAACTGAAACATTTTGGCCTGGCACCTAATAGGAACCAGGTGAGCTTCAAGGGGAAGGGCATTCCACAGCATGGTGCCACTACTGAAAAAGCCTGTCCCTGGTTTCCACCTGCCTCACATCTCTTGGTGGCACCAAGAGCAGGGCTTTTGAGGCAAATAACTGGTAGGCTGGACAATATGGAAGGATGTGGTCCTTCTAGTACTCTATCCCCAAGCCATGTATGGCTTTATGTACCCTTGGATTCCTTGGATCCTGAGTCCCCTGAGATCCATGGACCTCAGTTTAAGAAATATGTGCAGCATGATCCTTAGTGCATCACTACCAGCATGAGTACTGACTGATAACAGCATATTGGATGTGGGTGGACAGTTAGCAACAAGATACTTACAAAACACTGATCCAGTTTTCCTCTCCCTTCACCACCACCTCACAGTGTCTACTGGCAGAAGCATTGGGCTTCCTCTCATTCACTTCTCAGAGTTGGTAATTGATTCATCTGCTGCCACTGCCACTTGATATATTATATTCTAATCAGAGTCACACCATTCGAAGCAATGTTTTTTCTAATTTTGTTTCCCTATTGAGCGGAGTAGTTCACATCCTGAGCAGAATATAACCACTGTAATCTTAAAATGGATAATGGACAGATTGCTGCTAAGCAGGGCTTCTGTGTTAATGAGCAGCCACTCACGCTCACAGTTTAGAGGTAACACTAATTCCACGTTCATTGAATTCAGTAGAATGTAAATACTCTCCATAGCGGCATCCAGGTTAGGATGAATAGAAACCAATACTTCCTCTACATAATGTTTGGCAAGGTTCCTGACAGAAAGGTCATAAACTAGCAAAAGCTTATGGTCTTTTCTTAGAGTTCTGTAAGAACATATTTGTTCGATATTTTGTATATGGTAACAGAAATCCTTCTGTAAATTTCTTGATAGTGATTACACTTGGTATGGGTTTGGATGCTTATACATGTCTGAAATAACCTCAACATTAAGTTATTTGCGAACTTGTAATGTCTGGATTTAGTAAAATACTGCATCTAACAAAATGGTAATTCAGAGGGAGAGCAAATGGGTTAGATTCATATTAGATTTTTGTTTATAGCAGCATCAATTTACAGCAATTGTTCAATGCTAAACGTCCGTATTCTGGAGTAAAGTACAATTGAGTTAAACCACCCTAGTAGGATTGCATCATTAAGTAAACTGAAAGTGTCAGTGCATTTAAGTAGAGCTTAGTATTGTCATGTAAAGGTACAAAAGCATTATTTGTAAATTATATATAATTTATCCTTGGTATTGTGTTAATTATTTCCCCAACAATAGGTATTAAATTACCATGTCTCTTTGTTAATATATGCCCAACAAGGTGAAGTTGCTTAGTGATTTATGTCTTGGATGTCCTTTTTTTATTGCAAAGTAATTGATTAATCTGTGCGTTTGTGTGTGTGTGTATTTAAAAAATTAAGGAGTAGAATATCAACTGAATAATTATTATTCTTTTGTGTTCCACAGGTTGGTTAGATGACTGCCAATTGAATCTACTCAGAAGAAAATATGACTGAGATAGCTTGATGCTTCAGACTATGAAACAAGCGGAAGAATGCTTATGGATTTAAAATTATTGTATTTACCCAGTTGTTATGGTTCAAGGAATCCTAGGATATTAATTTGTTCAGTTATTATTTGCACAGCTACAAAAAATTGCTTCTGATGCAGCTAAGAAAAATGCAGTCCATTAAAACAGAACAAGCACCTGCTGATACAAGTAGCAATGTGGACAATATTATGGTACTTAATTCCACATTAACCGATGTATCTGATGACTTAGGAAGTGGTGAAGACATGTTACTAAATGAAGGAAGTGTTGTAAAAAACAAATCTTCCACATGCCGGAGAAAACGGGAATTCATTCCTGATGAAAAGAAAGATGCTATGTATTGGGAAAAAAGGCGGAAGAATAATGAAGCTGCCAAAAGGTCTCGTGAAAAGCGTCGGCTGAACGACCTTGTGTTAGAGAACAAATTAATTGCACTGGGAGAAGAAAATGCCACTTTGAAAGCTGAGTTACTTTCACTGAAGCTAAAGTTTGGTTTAATTAGCTCTTCAGCATATGCCCAAGAAGTTCAAAAGCTCAGTAATTCAACTGCTGTGTATTTTCAGGAGTATCAGAATTCCAAATCAAGCATTAACTCTTTCATTGATGAACATGAGCCAACTATGGTGGGCAGTAGTTGCATATCTGTCATTAAGCACTCACCACAAAGCTCTTTATCTGATGTCTCTGAAGTTTCATCAGTAGATCAGGCTCAGACAAGCCCTATACAAACTAATTGCAGAAATCCTGAAACTAAGTTTCAAATCATAAAACAGGAGCCTATGGAATTGGAAAACTATACAAGAGATCCACGGGATGAAAGAAGCTCCTATGCATCATCCATGTATCAAAACTATATGGGAAGCAACTTTAGCGGTTATTCCCATTCTCCTCCTCTCTTGCAAGTTAACAGATCCTCCAGTAACTCTCCAAGAACTTCAGAGGCAGATGATGGTGTTGTAGGAAAGTCATCAGATGGAGAAGATGAGCAGCAGGTTCCTAAAGGCCCAATCCACTCCCCTGTTGAACTTAAAAATACTCATGCCACAGTTAAGGTTCCAGAGGTGAGCTCTTCTGCACTGCCTCACAAGCTTCGAATTAAGGCCAAGGCCATGCAAATCAAAGTGGAATCATTAGACAATGAATTTGATGCCACCCAGAAACTTTCATCACCAATTGACATGTCATCTAAAAGACATTTTGAGCTCGAAAAGCACAATGTACAAAATATGGTACATACTTCCCACACTCCTTTCTCTGTTCAAGTGACTAACATTCAGGACTGGTCTCTGAAGCCAGAACACTGGCATCATCAACGAGAACTCACTGACAAAATTCAGACTGCCTGTAAATCTGGAGTGGGTGATATTAAAGACAATTCCTACAAGGTGTCTGAGACAGAGAACTTGTATTTGAAGCAGGGCATAGCAAATTTGTCTGCAGAGGTTGCTTCGCTTAAAAGACTTATAACTACACAACACATTTCTGCTTCAGATTCTGGCTAAATTACTACTGAATAAATGCTCATTGTATTAAAGGATGTCATTTGCAGTAGACTGATATGTTTTGTATTATGCTGAATTTTCACTGGACTTGTGATGTCATTTCACTGTAATGTTCACATAATGTCTGATGGATAGTGTCTTTTTGTGCACAAATGACTATGAAGATTAGATTGTCATGATCACTATGCCTTGTGTATAGTCAGGTAGCCTGTGCAAAGGCTGTATATAGTGAACATTATTTTTCTGTTGTTCTGTTACTATAAATTGTGAAAGTTATCAGTTCCAATTAAAAAATTGGTGACAAACACATAACTAGTTTGCTGTCAGTCAGTTTCTATTAGCCTGTAGATAGAGTAAGCACAATTCAAAGAACTGTTTCCATTTTCTTAGGCACAGATTACTTATTGGGACAGTAGGATCCCTTTCCCCCCAAAATTGAATCTTTTGCATTGGCCTGGCGAACTACTTTTGCATTTCTAAGTGTTATAAGTGAAACACTGGAAGTACTTACAGTACAAGGGAATGAAGAAGTGCCTGAAAGATTTTTTGAATTGTGACTATTTTGTTTTAGAACAGTTTATTAAATTAGTGTGGTCACAAAGTAGTTAATTATAAAAAGAACTCACGTGAAGCAAAGTCTGATGCACAGATGAGGGAAAATCTGAAATCATATTCATAAGGAGAATGAAAACAGCCAATGACAATCTTATCAGATCTGTATAATGAGAACTCATTATACAAAAGGGAATGATGTGGTCATCACCAGTCTGTCAGTCTGACTGCTCTAACTCCCAGTGCTTTCCTTGAGGATTAGAGAAAGTTACATAGAATGAGATGGTATCAGACTCAGACTTGCCACTTTCACAACAGTCGCTGGGTCTCAATTTGTCTTGGAGTGAATATATTTTAGAACATGCAAACATGCTCAGCATCCTTTATAGATTTTCATCATGTAGAGTCCACCTTTCTCACGTGTGTGTGTGTGTGTGTGTGTGTGTGTGTGTGTGTGTGTGAGAGAGAGAGAGAGAGAGAGAGAGAGAGAGAGAGAGAGAGAGAGGTGGACTATAAAACTGCATAAATCATCCAATAAACAGTGCAGTAGGATTAGGATTACAGAACTGGAAAACAATCCAAACAATTTTTAAAAATCTGCCTAAACATACCATAATGCAGAAGTGGGTTACAAAGATAGAAGACAATACAGTAAAAGCAAGGTGATTAAATACAATAAACATAGCAATTGATTACAGTCTTATTCCCTCATTAAAACCATGATGAAACAAGTAACTGTAACTTGCATTTATTCTTTCTCATACGGAATGTAAAAAACTTAATAACATTATAAAGGATTTCCCCCTACAGTCTTCAGTGGCTTTTAGTAGCTTATTGAAGCAGGCATTTTTCTTTATGTAGCATGTAGTCCTCCCTGCACACAGTAGCAGCATATATTTACATTCCTTTACATTTGTACAGGTATTCTTGTCTCCAATAAACTCAGTTACTGATTTTTTTTCTCTTGCTGGACACAGATATGAACAATCCTTTTCTTTTTCCCTTTTATAATGATCTCACAGTCCACTCCTATGCAGAGTTACACCCTTCTAAGATGATTGGCTTCCGTGGATTTAAAGGGATGTAAACTGTTTAGGATTACACTGTAATTTATTTATGAAATGCTTGTAGTGTGCTGCATACAATCTGTTTCACCCTTATGTCAATAGGAACTGATTTTGGTACAAAGTGGGCTGTAGTCTTAAATAAAAATATCTTTTGAGCTTCCAGGGGAACATGGACAATTGAACATGGACAATTCAGGTTCTAACTAAACAATTCAGGTTTATTAGTCATATTCATAGTCCAATTTATAAAAGGGAAGGTAGATTCATCTTCCTTAGATATCTTTCATAACTAAATGTTCTCTCATAGATTGTCCTGTAGATTTCAAATACGTATCCTTATATGTGCCCTTATCTGGATAGCCCAGGCTAGCCAGATCTGGGAATACTAAACAGGGTCGGTCCTGGTTAGTATTTGGATGGGAGACCACCAAGGAATACCAGGGTTGTGACATGGGGGCAGGGAATGGTAAACCACCTTTGAGTGTCTCTTGCGTTGACAACCCTACAGGGTCACTATGGGTGCGTTGAGACGGGGCATTTACAATGGTATAGGTGCCGGTTGGAATCGGTGTACTTACCGGCGTTCACATGTAGAACATCTGCCTTCCGTCCCTAACCGTTGCAAAGAGCTTTAAACCGTTGTATTCTGCCACTAGGTCCCCAAGTGGTGGTATCCTGAGTGCAACGGTTGTAACCGCTTTACCCCCGTCTGATCGCTCTCCACTGTTATAGAGCCACTTCCGTTCGGAAGCCCAAGGCTTCCGATTTTCGTCCGCCATTTTTTTGGTTAGGTCGGCAATATGCGCTTGGGTGAAGCTTCGACCCGGCTTTTGTTTTAAAAAAAGAAAAGAAAAGGTCCTTAGTTTAAGGTTTTAGAAGAGTCCGGGACCTCAGGGAGGCCAGTTTGCTCTTTAAACTTCAAAGGTAAGTCCTCTCTTCAGGGCATGCTTTTCTGGATGGGGTGTTTTGCGCATGCACGAAGATTGCCATTCTGTGGATGGCTGCCTATGCGCATGTGCAAACTGAGTTAAAAAAACCCAAAAACTGCTGATGCCCGCTGTGTGTGAATGAGCATACAGCGATGGGCTCCGCAGACAGGAGGTAAGTGTGATCACGTTTCAGCCTGCATAAACTGCACCGGCTTCCCATTTGCTTCTGGGCACAGTTCAAAGTGCTGGGACCTTTAAGGCCCTAAATGGCTTGGGGCCAAGGTTCTTGAAACAGTCTTGTCCAGCCCACCAGATATGATCATCCTTACAAGCCCTGTTTTTTGTGCCCCTGCCTTCAGAGGTGAGGCTGAAACGCCCCGTCTGAACGCACCCTATAAGTCAGCTGTAACTTGACAGCACTTTCCACGACCATTCTTACATGTATATTGGAATAATCAACCATCCTCCTACTTGGTCAGCTTTGTTAGATGAAAAGAAGCAATGATCTGCAGTAACAGATTATTACTATTAAATGTCACCAGGTAACCAAGTTACAGGTGCTGCGGTGGCTCAAGTGGTTATGACGCTGAACTGCAGGCTGTGGAAGGTCAGTAGTTCAGCAGTTCGAGACCCAAGTGTGCCGCATGAGGGAGCTCCCGTCTCTAGTTCCAGCTCCTGCCAACCTAGCAGTTCGAAAGCAAGAAATTGCAAGTAGATAAATAGGTACCACTTCAGTGGGAAGGTAACAGCGTTCCCTGCACCTTGGTGTTTAGTCATGCCAGCCACATGACCACGGAAATGTCTTCGGACAGCGCTGGCTCTTTGGCTTTGAAACGGAGATGAGCACCGCAACCCTAGAGTCAGATTTGACTGGCTTTCGAGCAAGGGAACCTTTACTTTTACCTATTGACCAAGTTACAGCTGTAATTGTGGAATAAGAGTATTCCACACATACATTGATTTTTATGTCAAACTAGTAACTATTCCTCATACTGTGCAGTTTGCACCTTATGTCATGTCCTTGCCCTACATAGACTCCACTCATTCCACATTGTGAAGTTTTCTCCCAAGGTGATAGTCTCTCATTTGAATTAAAAAGAAATGGCATTCTTGTCTGTCTGCTCCTTTTATGGGTTAAAACCACAAATTACTAATTCACACATTTTTGATCTAAAACTACCTTATATGGCCAAAGCAGAGGTATACTACCTTCTATGACCACATCCATAATGGTCTATGACAGCATTTTGAACATTTATGTCTGGGCACTCCTTGAGATCCCTGAGAGTGCTCAGTGTCTGTGTGTGTGTCTGGAATTCATCTTTAGGGGACAGTGGTTCCTTGAGTTGTTTAGATTCCTTGTTTTTAATTTTAAAGTAGCTCAGGTTCAGCCTCTAATGCTAAGGCCTTCCTAAGAAATCCCCCTGGGTGAATAAACATTAACCGCTGGTATTTGCTTTAGGTATAAGAAGCTACTGGCAGAATCTGCAAGTGAAATCTATTCCCCATAGATCTGTTTAACCCCTTCCTATTGTCCTGATGGCCTTTGGCTCACATACTGCCAAACAAACAGAGCTAATTCTTACATTTCTAACATGGCTGAAGGAAGGGCTGTTCTGCACTTCACATTGCCTCAGTGCATTTTAGTAAGGGCCAGTGGTCAGAGGTCAGCACTAGCAGGCAGGGTCCAAAGGAAGGGCCCAGCATCTATCCATGACACCACAGTGGTCAAGTCACCTAAGAGCAACAAGCAACTGCCACATCCTCACTCTATTCTCTGAATCCTAGAGTTGCCAGCTCCATGTTAGGAAATTCCTGGAGATTTTAGTTAGTGCTTGGAGATGGGGGAATTTCAGGGGGATCTCAGTGGGAGGCTTGCTGGCAACCAGTAGAAGGGGTGGAGGGAATTATGTTGTGCTGATGTCACCATGCTGGCATGATGCTCTAGGTTTCTGGCCCCAAACCCTATGGTTTTACTGCACAGCTTTGATGGAATCCAGAGAAATAAAGAGAATAAGCCATATGCCATTGCCACCACACATGCATACAAGAAAGGGAGGAGGGCCTAATCCCTTCAGGGACCAACTCAATACTGGCAGCAGTGATTTCTTGCTGCTGAATTTGAAGCTGGAACACTGCACTTAAAAAGTGTCTGTGTGTGTGTGTGTGTGTGTGTGTGTGTGTGTGTGTGAGAGAGAGAGAGAGAGAGAGAGAGAGAGAGAGAGACCTCCTTGGAATCAGTGCTGTTGTTGACCACCCTAGTCAGAGAGGAAGGAAGTGGCAGTTGCACTAATCCCCTGGATAGGATACATTAAGCAAACTCCGGAGCACAACGGAAAACAGGAGGGCCTGGCGTGATGTGGTCCATGGGGTTGCAAAGAGTCGGACTCAACTGTGCGACTGAACAACAACAATGGAAGTTAGGAGCAGTTGTGCTGCTGCTAACTTGTTCATTGCTTGTTTGCAGTGTTGGCACACTGGCCAGCTTGATGACTGGGCAGCCACTGAAAGTACTGCTACCTGATGTCATTCTTGGGTGCATTTCCCCTCCTCTGCCCTGAGCCTACCTCAAGCTGTTTGGAGCTCTCTGCCAGTGGACTCCCAGGGGACATGCCTGCTTATGTATCTGCTACATAGAATGACTATATTGCTTGGGGGGAAGGGGAAAGGTCCTGCCAGGTGTGGGGTTATTGTCATGGCGCTTCCAATGGGGCGGGGGCTGGCCATTGCAGATTTCTGTGGGCAGGGGGCATGGCAGAGCAATAAGCCTGCCACATTTGATTAACTGGCAACTACGTTCCCCAAATGTGCCAGGTTATTTATTTATTTCTATTCAGAAAATGTTATGTCGCCTCTCCAGGGGAAAGGGCCAAGGCAATTTACAAAATTATAAAAACATTAAAAATTATTAATCCGACCAGACCATAAAACCATAAATCATTGAACAGCTTTAAATGAATTTAACAGTTTCCAGGCTAAAAGCACACTATAAACATGGTGTTAAAATATCAACCCTTAATTGAAAGTCCGGGTAAACAGAAACTTTTTGGTCAGGTGTCTAAAAGAGAATTGTGTAGAGAGGTGAGCTTCAAGGGGTAGGGCGTTCAACAGGCAACATGCCACAACTGGAAAAAAATCTTGTCTCTGGTCAACACTTGCCTCACCTCTGAAGGCAGGGGCACAAAAAACAGGGCTTGTAAGGATTATCTTACCTGGTGGGCTGGACAAGACTGTTTCAAGAACCTTGGCCCCAAGCCATTTAGGGCCTTAAAGGTCCCAGCACTTTGAACTGTGCCCAGAAGCAAATGGGAAGCCGGTGCAGATCTTTCAGCACCAGAGAGATATGAACTGTATATCTTGCCCCTGAGAGTAGCCTGGCTGCCAAATTTTGGACCAGTTGAAGTTTCCA